TGAAACTGCCAGGAAACCCTAAATCTATCACAGCACCACAGAAGACACAACTGCAAGAAGCCTCAGAGAAGCATTTCAGCTGGCGTAATGGAGCCAAGCTTGAGGTCACAGTTGATACATCAGGGTCACAAACAAGGTTCTGCAAATGGACCAGAGCCAGGAAGCTATGAGCAATTTTCAGATGTGAGCTCCATACAAAGATCCTCACACACTGGTCTCTTCCACTGCTACACTGGAGGTAGTGATCACTGCCAGCAGCAGCATCTTTATAAAGAACTGGAGTGAAACATATAGCTAATTATATTTTACATGATTTCCCAAAGCGACTATAGACAGAAATCGCTTTCTAATCTTGCCATCACTTCAGAGCCGATACACACAGAGGCGATCTAAAATCTGCCTGGATCCTCCATAATCAACATTTTACTTACTAAATTGAAATAAAAGTACTGTAAATAGCAAACATCACAGTCAGGGTTCCCTTTCTTAGGAATGCCAGTTTCAATAATGGAAGTTAACTGAATAATATACCAGAGATGGCAAATAACTGGCACACTTGCTTCCACTTCCCTCATCGTCTGTTTTCTGCAGTCTTTCCCACCAAGTCTTCAGGAGGTTTCAGAACTCTTATTAACACCACATACCAGAGAGTCACTATCAATTCAACAGACTCGGCAAGAGTGGAAATTTATTGACTACTCCTGCCCCAGACACCACTGCCATCTTCGGCCTCATAAGCTGGAAAATAACCTTTTTTCAAAATGTAAGTCTCATTGTTCTCATAGTGGGTGGTGGTTTAAGTTTTTCAACTTCTAAGCCAGGAGATCCAAAGATATGAACTCTACATATTATACCTCTTATCTGAAAATATAAGGCTAGTAGTTAAGAAATTTGCCTACAGCCTTGTTATTTCAATTATATTCCTTAGACCAGCAGCACCTGCAGCACCTGGGAGCTTGTTAGCAATGCAGAATCTCAGCCCTGACTGGGACTTACTGAATTAGAGTCTTCTTTTAAACATCCATATTCTTTGATTCGTATGCACATTAAAGTTTGCCTAGACTAGAGGACACACAACAAAATACAACTTTTTCTTTCATGCAGGTAAAATTCAGCACTCCAGGTTTAGTAATATGTTTTTTGGTCTAGATTCTACATTCAGACTGTCTATCCTTTTATTTGAATATATGTAGGCTGCAACTAAGCACCAGGGGCAAATTCATTTTTCCACTGATAATAAGAAATAGATGACCTGAGTACATAATGATTATTAAGGCTTTTAAAAATATCTTCTCACGCGATACTATAAACATTCCAGAGAAGTAATATAACAGATGGGGGAAAAAATCGCTAAATGTTAAAAATAATAAATAGAATTTTAAATGACAAAAATTCAATTTTTTTTAAGATTTTATTTATTTATTTGACAGAGAGAGATCACAAGCAGGCAGAGAGGCAGGAAGAGAGAGAGGGGGAAGCAGGCTCCCCACTGAGTGGAGAGTCCAACGAGGGGCTCGATCCCAGGACCCTGAGATCATGACCCAAGCCAAAGGCAGACGCTCAACCAACTGAGCCACCCAGGCACCTGACAAAAATTCAATTTTAATTAAACAAAGTGATTAGTGAACACTACTATTGCAATGAAAGATTGTCTAGGATGTCATTTAATTACATGGGCTATCTAAGTATGAGCACCTTATTACGTGGGCTATCTAAGTATGAGCACCATATTTCAAGTGACTAGTGGAATCTTTAATTTTGCATTTTCATAAACAATTGACTTTGGGACTGCATTCAGAGTTGATTAGCTTCAAAGGACTGGCTTAAACTCACTCAACCCTCAGAAATTGCTGTTGGGGCCAAAGGAGGCCTTTTCAGGGGCCAGCAAACTTACGTCCGTGATCTAATTAGCCAAATTCTTAATGTTGGAATGCCTTGAAAGATAAAATAATCAAAATCTAGTTAGGGAAAAAGAGAATCAGTGTAAAAGGAGGTACGTAAACCAATACTTTGGGGGGGTCCACTTTCCTAGAGTCCATGTAGTCCATTATTCTTCCTTGAACAAGTCTTTCCACAAATAGCAACCAAATCAATTAAGAATTAGCTTTCTTAGTACAACTCATTCCAGCCTGCATCTCCCAGTTAGACTGAGCATTCCCAAATGTCCACAGCCACACATTAACTGCAGTTCCTATTGCAACTGAAAACTTTACCCAAGTGGTACTGATTTCTAATACAGAAATCATTCACAAAAGACAACCAACCTTTACAAACACTCGACCCTTTACAAACATAGTTAAAACCTAGCCTTATATTTTACAATGTTGCAAATATCTTTCTAATGAAGAGTTCTCCAGAGAACTCATATACTCTGTAAATATATTTCTTAAAGACTCTGGAAATAGCTAAGAAAGGAACTATGTGCCTGTTTGTATCTTGCCTCTTGGAAGTTTAAAACATAAAAGCAAAGGTATCCTGAACTGCTTCAGAAGAGAAACAGATAACTTCTACCTTTACAGATAGTAGGTTACAAAGAAGGGATGTTGCAGGGTTAAGAATTCTTTTTCCTGAACACATTCTCTAAATTCATAATGGGGCCTTTACTAAGGAAGCCATCCCCCTCATGGTGGATCCTGGCTGTTTCTGGTTTGGGCCCTATTAGTCTGCACATGTTCTTTATGTTCAAATGTTTAACAGCAAAGAAAAGGGTGACTTCCTGCGGAATTAGAGTCAACCTTTCAAAGATTTAATATTTAATATTGATATCTTGTTGTCTAGTGTTCTACGGAGCATCTGTTCAGTCATAAATAAGGGAAGCCCAAGACCAAATGCAGTAGATTAGAAGTGATTAAGTATATGTGCAAGGTAGAGAACATCAGATTTCTGATTCATTTGTGCATATTATAACTTTTATTTATCCACTGCGATAGCTCAATTAAATTACCTGAGAGCTAAAGACTTTAAACTCAAGAAAGTCTCACTTCAGCAACTATCCTAATTGCCTTAAGAAACAATGTCAAATAACATTATACAGTCAACTCTTAATTATGCATGTTAAGAGAGCCCAGGGATACAGGGATAATTGGTATTCTAAAGTAATCTTCAAACTTCATTTTAACTAAGAGTTAAAGCCTCTCCCATGACTAAACCTCTTACCTAAATATTGAATGTAGGAAAATTGGCAAAATATGTAGTTTTGCTAACCCTTGACTACCCTTTGGTTGAAACTCAAAATATTAGCCAACTAAAGAAAGATGGAAGAAAGGCAAAGGGGCCAGATAATTCAGAAATTGGATAATAAAATCCTAAGAAGTTAGAGTTGCTTATATTTACAAATGTGATTATTTGGAAAATTCTTTGTAAGACAAGTTTTGTGCAAACTGCTATATATTGGCACTTGCGACTCAGCAATCTCCCTGAAAATTAACTAAACCTAAGAGCTGTGCTATATTGAAGTCCCACAACTTGCAAAAAAGTGAACTCAGTGTGTTTATCTCATGTCAACAATTAATCTATGTGTTACAGGAATCATCTTAATGTAGACAAAAATAAGATGCCTGGTTACTATTCACTACCAGGGACACTAGATAACTTCATACTTGATGTAAGTAAGTTCTGAAAGAATTGTTGACTCATATCTGAATTTAAAAAGGAATATTACTGGAAAAGGCAGCTATTTAGAGCTATAAAGAGTATAAAGCCTCATCTAAGACACTAAGGCAGCCACAGAGTTCATTTAAATTGATTTTGAACTACTCAAACTTATATTCCTATAAAAATGTTTGCATTGAATAAAATACTACATATTTTCTTTGATCTTTCCAACTAAGTTCTTCAAAGCTCCCTGAAGCACTGATGTGTACAGAGCCTGAGTCAGGACTGGTGAAAGTTTGCCAAAGCCCAGAAAATGAATCACTGTTAGATCTCTGAAGTCTTGACTTAAAACTGGGGCACTCATAGTTGGACAAAAAATAAGGTATGGGGCGCCTGGGTGGCTCAGATGGTTAAGCGTCTGCCTTCGGCTCAGGTCATGGTCCCGGGGTCCTGGGATCGAGTCCCGCATCGGGCTCCCTGCTCCTTGGGAGCCTGCTTCTCCCTCTGCTTCTCTCTCTCTCTCTCCCTCTCTCTCTCCTCCTCTGTCTCTCATGAATAAATAAATAAAATCTTTTAAAAAAAAATAAGGTAGATTTTGGAGTTTCCTTGATATCTTTAAGAATAAAACAGATAATCGTCTCTCTCCTACCAGCCTGAAAAAAGTAGGTATCTTTTTCTCATGAATCTCCGATCTCTCCAGTACAATTAAGTGTAAATGCCTAGAGGAGGTGAGCTCAAAAGCCTTACCAAGAAATAGTGAATCTAATTATTCACATATTGCTATTCCATTTTTTTCATATTTCCATGGATAATTGTTCATCACTGTCTCATTTCTTCCTAACATCTCTGAGCCTTTCAGCTCACCAGGTCATCATTTAGTGGCTTTACAATAAAATGAAACTACCTAGAAAGTTGATGCTTACAAATCATTTAAGCATTGGACAACTGAAGCATCTACAGAATCACAGGTTGAATACTCTGAGGTTCAGCTCATTAAAGCCCAAAGGCAGAGAGGTCTTTCCCTGTCTCCTAACTTTCCTGAATTGATTCCCACGGTATTCTGAAGGCTGGGAGCTTATAAGCGAAAGGAGGGTTGAATCAATTTGTTGTGCCACCTTAACATAAAACTTCCATCCAAAGTTTGCAGAGTGGTTACTAAGTACGAGTCCCAAAGGTTCTTCCAACAGGAACCCAGCAGCCTAACACTCCTAAAAGGCAAAGTCTTTTCAGCGGGTAGCCATCAGGGGAACACGGCGGCGGAGACGCCACCTTGAGGCCCAACAGGTGTCTTGCCGGCTGGGAGGCCACAAACCGCGTAGGGCGCCCCAGGTGGGAAGCCCGCGCCCTCGCCCCCAAACCCGTTACCAAGGGGAGCGCCTGGAGGCCGCGGCTACACGTAAGGATACGCTCCAGGTAGTAAGCGCCCTCGGCGGCCACCGCCTCTGCGCTGTCCCCAGCAGCCGTCAAGTCCATTCCCAACGCTTCTTCAAGCACCCTCAGAGCGGAGGCGGGAGTCCCTTGCTTAGCAGCCATCGGAGGCGCTCCCGGGCCCCGCCCGCGGACAGCCTGATCCCTCCCTGGGAGCAAACGCGAAGACGCTTGCCAAGCAACCGCACGCAGCTCTCGCGATAGTCTGACACTCCTCTCACTGCTCCCACCAGGCGAGCTCCGCGCTCCGAAGGGCTGCCCCCGCCCTAAAAGCGTTGGTGCCCTCTGACCTTCACAAGTTACCACGGCAACGTCGTTGCCTAGTTATCCTGGAACGCAGTTCCTGGAGTGGATGAGAGGAGAAGCAAGAAAGTTGGCTTGGATTACATATACATGTTCTTGCCGAACCAGTTTGGGTTTTTTTTTTTTCTTTTTTTGTCCGTTTCGACCCTGGCATTTCTTTCTCACTTCATTTTCTTCCCTAAGTTGCCTTGCTCCTGGTTCTTACATGCCCATCATCAGCCCCTTAATTTTAGATGTGTGGAGACCCCCAGTTGTCCCCAGGGAAGACTCCTGGAAAAGAGAAAGAACCTCAGAGCCAGGAGGAAAAATAAAAAAGTTATAGAAATCATTATTGAGAGACTGACTCAGGGGAACTAACCTCAGTCACATAGCAATAAAGACCTAGGGTAGTCACCTTAGTCGATTTCCTTCTTGGGCTCTTTTAAAATATTTATCTGGACATCTGTTTTGACTTCGATTTCATACACTGGGGCTTGGAAGAGTATTTGTAGTGTTGACTCGTGAAAAGAAAGACACTTCATAAGAACTATGAGGTACAAATCGTCCTAACACAATGTGTTATAAATGATATTTGCCCAATCATGTGCACTCCTTTTGCAATGACAAACTCTTCCTCAGTTTTGTATTGTGTATATATAGGAGGCATCTGCTGGGCCTTTTTCTTTGTAGATTCTTTTCCATTCTATGTTTCTTGATGAAAACTGGATGCCATATGTGGAATATAAGAAACGGCACAGAGGATCCTAGGGGAAGGGAGGGAAAACTGAATGGGAAGCCATCAGAGAGGGAGAAAAACCATGGGAGACTCTTAACTATAGGAAACAAACAGGGTTCCTGGAGGGGAGATAATTGGGTGATGGACATTAAAGAGGGCACGTGATGGGATGAGTAATGGGTGTTATAGGTAACTGATGAATTATTGAACTCTACATCTGAAACTAATGATGTACTATGTGTTGGCTAATTGAATTTAAATTAAAAAAAAAAACTGGATGCCAAAGAGGAATTCATTATGAAAGCTCCCATTTATTATCAAAAAAATAATAGTGGTATTTTCCTAATGAGGTGATTGAGAGCCTGGGTGTTGGAACCAGAGAGGCTGCATTCAGAGCCTGGCTCCAACACTTACTAGTTAAGAAACTTTGGGCAAACCACTTACTGCCTCTAGCCTCAATTTCCTCATTTGTAAAATGAGGATAATAACATAATCTACCACAAAGCATTGTTGCAGGGGCAAAATATAAAGAATTAAGAATTTACCAGGCACAAAGTGGACACTAAGAAATAGATGTTTTTTCTATTGAAGTTAATTGCTTAGGCTTGTTATGTTTTTTAGAATAGCCAAGGGTCACAATTAGTCATAATACTCCCTCATTTCTTGTATCTATTATTTTAGTAACTTACTCTTGATGTCTCACATCAAACATATCCTCGATGTTCATTAAATGCAAGGAACAGTTATAAGGGACTAAAAATACAGGAGAGGAGCTCTGAAATTAGAGAATCTAATGCTTTTATAGAAAGTCTGCTCTTTGTTCCAAAGAAGACATTACCTCATACCCTCAAGTTTCTTCTGTAAACACTTGCCTGAGAAATGGCCTGGGTAAAGAGTGGTGAGGGCTCTGCACACCCAACAAGGTATGAAGGAGCATAAGAGAGCCAGGAAGGAAGGTCTCTCTGAACAATTAGTGCTTACTTTGATTTTTTTTGTGTGTATTACATCGGTTCTTGGCTGTTCTTTTTCTTAGCTTTTAGATGTAATATGTGTCATGTTCTACAGAAGGTTTGAATCCTGGCTCTTTTGTATAATCTTAATTAACTTAAGCTCTTTGAGCTTTAATTTCCTTTTCTTTAAAACAGATATTTTAATACCTACATTACTAAAATATAAATAGTATATGAAATTTCTTCTTTGGTAAAATGTCTATTCACCTCTTCTGTCCATTTTTTAATTGGATTATTCATTTTGGGTATGTTGAATTGTGTAAGTTCTATATATATTTTGGACTAACCATTTATCAGCTATGTCATTTGCAAATATCTTCTCCCATTCTGTAGGTTGCCTTTCACTTTTGTTGATTGTTTCCTTCGCTGTGCAGAAGCTTTTTATTTTGATGAAGTCCCAATAGTTTATTTTTGCTTTTGTTTCCCTTGTCTCAGGAGACATATCTAGAAAAAACTTGCTATGGCTGATGTCAAAGAGGTTACTGCCTGTGTTCTTCTCTAGGATTTTTATGGTTTCAGGTCTCACAGTTAAGTTTTTCATCCATTTCAGGTATATTTTTGTGTATGGTGTATGGAAGTGGTCCAGTTTCATTCTTTTGCATGTTGCTGTCCAATTATCTTCACACCAATTGTTGAAGAGACTGTCTTTTTCCCATTGGATATTGTTCCCTGCTTTGTTGAAGATTAGTTGACCATAGAGTGTTGGGTTCCCTTCTCGGTTTTCTGTTCTGTTCTATTCATCTATGTATCTGTTTTTGTGCCAGTACCATACTGTTTTGATCACTACAACTTTGTCATATAACTTGAAGTCCAGAATTGTGATGCCTCCAGCTTTGCTTTCCTTTTTCAAGGTTGCTTTGGCTATTTGGAATCTTTTGTGGTTCCATACAAATTCTGGGAATGTTTGTTCTAGTTCTGTGAAAAATAAAAAAAATAATACAAGAAACATCAGGTGCTGATGAGGATGTGGGAAAAGGGGAGCCCTCTTGCATTGTTGGCGGAAATGCAAACCAGTACAGTCCTGGAAACCAGTATAGAGGTTCCTCAAAAAAGTTAAAAATAGAACTACCCTATGATCCAACAATCACACACACACACACAGGTATTTATCCAAAGAACACAAAAAAACTAATTCAAAGAGATACATGAACCCTAATGTTTATGGCAACATTATCTATAATGACCAAATTATGGAAACAGCCTCAACTGATGAATGGATAAAAAGATGTGGTATATACACACAATGCAATATTACTTAGCCATAAAAGGGAATGAAATCTTTCCATTTGCAATGACATGGATAGAGCTAGAAAGTATTATGCTAAGCAAAATAAGTCAGAGAAAGACAAATACCATATGATTTCACTCATACATGGAATTTAAGAAAAAACAAACATGAAAGGGGAAAAAAAAGAGAGAGGGGGGCAAACCAAGAAACAGACTCTCAGCTATAGAGAACAAACTGATGATTATCAGATGGTAGTAGGTGGAGAGATGTGTTAAACAGGTGATGCTCATCACAACAAGTGTATGGAAGTGTTAAATCACTATATTGTACATCTGAAACTAATATTGCACTGTATGTTAACTAACTGGAATTTAAAGGAAAAACTTTAAAAAGATACATAATAGTAAATGAAATGGAATATATAAAAAGCACTTATCCCCATATCTAGTATATCAAATATTTTCAATAAATAATTGCTAATAAAACTGACTGAAAATGTTGAGTTGATCCCAAATTGGATATTATATTTGTAAGAAACTTACATATATAGGAACATTTTTAAGACAAAACTTAAATGTTTTTAGAAACATGCAGCACTCAGAGCATCTGGGTGGCTCAGTTGGTTAAGTGTCTGCCTTCTGCTCAGGTTATGATCTCGGGGTCCTGGGATCCAGGACCACATCCCACATGGGGCTCCCTGCTCAGCTGGGAGCCTGCTTCTCCCTCTGCCTGCCCCTCCTCCTGCTTGTGCACACATGTGCTCTCTCATTCTCTCTCTGTCAAATAAATAAATAAAATCTTAAAAAAAAACCTTTATAGAAACACACAGCACTCAAAAAAGGGGAAGGTTTTAATAGAGTCATAAGAAAGTAAATAAATAATGGCCATTATCCACCACCTCAGGTAAAGGAAAATTGGGAAAGATTCTTGTCAAAGAAATTTTTATTTTTTATTTTCTTTAAGATAAAAGAGCTCTTTAAAAAAAACTGTACCTCAAAGAAGTATCATCACTGCCCTCCTCAAAAAAAAATTTTTTTTAATCTAGAAGTCTCATTCTCTAAAAGTTCCAAATAACCAAAGTTTTACTTCAGAGTTCCCAATTTGATTATGTCAATTTCATGGATTTTAAATTGAGAAGTCACCCAAGATATTTTTGGTTCAAATATAATTTGAACACATTTCACAGGGACGTACACTATAGTATATTTAAAAGTTCAATTTAGAAACATCTTTAATATTTTTTAACCTTTAGATCTCTACAATAAATGTGTAATTTGTTAAATCAATGAAATAAAAGCAAAAATAATCTTAACAAATGTAAACAGAACCAATAATTGCCTTCAGATAAAAAACAGGATAAAAAACAGATAAAAAACAAATTTTGTAGCAACTGCTAATATCTTAAAACTAGTATGTCTTTGCAAGGGATGACTTTTAAAATATTTTTATATTGGAATTATTCTGTTAATTGCTGGTTTAATTTAAAAAGAGTGTGAATGCCTTACTAAGAAAAAACAAAAACATCAGATCATAGTAGTGGTTTCAGTTATAATGCTGTTATGTGGTCTTTCTATTCTACAGTCCTTCCTTTTAAAAAATATTTTACAAGCTTCCTTGAAGTGGGGAAAAAGAAAGTAGCTTCACATTTTGATGAATGAATGGCAAGCTCTCTAGTTTCCTCTTGAATATGTTCCTGAAAGAGGTAAATAAAGAAAACCAATGGAGACAGTCAATATAATGCAACAAGTACAAAGGACAACAAATTTTATTTGATCCCAGCCTAAATGCTCCATTTTTGTAAAAGTGAAGTTATTTTTAAAAGCAAAACCAGGAAGTAATTTGACAATGGATTTACTCTCCCTATTTGTAGTTTCAAAGGAGAAAATATTCATA